GTTTTGGGTTTTTCACATTATTGATAAATCTGAAAACATAAGATGTTATTTTATATACTCTCTTTTATGTCACTGAAGTTCTTGATAGGAATGATAGGTTCGCTGTTTTCAACAGTACAGTTTGCTGTTAAGACTTCTTGCTTCTTTCCTTTTCGTTTCTCAGAATTTGTTATTTTATCATCTTCATTAAAATTTCTTGAAGATCTGGGGCAAATGTTGTTATCTTTAACAAGCCAAGGTGAGCCAAACCACCACAGTTCATTTTTTGAAAGGGTTTCTACCTTTTGCCCTCTCGTCTATTAAGTCCGAAGGATTCTCATGAATGAGACAATAATTCCACCAATCTGGATCAGTTTTCTCGTGGATTTCTAGACACCTTGGATTTCGTAGACAATTGTTTCCTATTTTGTACAAATGGTTTCCATTTCATTGGATCAGCTTCTGAATCTGTCCACATATAAATCTTCATTTCTATATTTTTCAACGAATGTCGAATGTATGTGATGAGTCGAGCTCCTATGACTGCTCCTAAAAGCTCCAGTCGAGGTAACATAACCTTTTGTATGGGAGCAACTCTTGCTTTGGACACAAAAAATGATGTTTTTGTTAGCTCATTTTCATTGTGTCTCAAATATACAACGGTACCATATCCCTTTTGGCTACTATCTGTAAAACAGTGCAATTGAATATTCGACAGATTTCCTTTTGACAGATTGTTGAAATAATGTCTTGGAATTTCAACATTTTTTAATTTAGGAATTTCATTATACCAGGTTTTAAATCGATTCTGCAAATTCTTGATCAAGTGGTGCATCCCATTGGTAACCTCTTTGCCAACATTCTTGCATCATCATCATTTTAGCTGCAACAACAAAGGGAGATATGAAACCGATAGGATCGTATAGTTCGCCCGCAACTTGAAGAATCTTCCGTTTTGTTATTTCCTCAGCCGGATCCTTTGAGTAATTCATCTTTGATTCGAAATTTCAGTTTATCTGCTTCATAATTCCAAATATATCCTAACAAAGTGCTATTCATTCCGTCTTCCATTAAACTTCGTATTTTCAGCTGCATTCCAAATCGCATGTAATTGGGCGTTATTGCTCCTCCACTTTCTCATATTGAAACTAGCAAGCATCATAATCCTTTTCACATCTTCATAAATTTCTGCTTTTCTTCATCATCTGTACCATGAATCAAATCATCTACGTAAAAATTTTCTTCAAGAAGCTGACAGATCTTCGAATATTGTGCTTTCAACTTTCTTGCGTGATGCTTTATAGTTGCTGCTAGTAAAAAGGGCTACAGGTTGCTCCGAATATTACACGCGTCATTCTTAAAATCGTCGGTTGCTCCTTTTCCTTTGAAGTCCAAAGAAATCTTACTGCATTTCTGTACTCAGGCTTCAACAGAATTTGTAGAAAAGCAGCTTCGATATCTGCAGCAAATGCTACTTTGTGTTGACGAAATTTAATTAGCAAATCTAATAATTCAGGGTTTAAAAATTTGGTCCTGAATGTAAGCAATCATTTAAAGATAGACCGTCATGACTATGCGATACAGCATCAAATACGACCCTTAATTTCGTAGAATCGTGATCTTCTCTGATTACACAATGGTGTGGCAAATAATAGATGTTTTCTTCAGAATTCTTCGGAGCCTTTTCAGCTATTCCTTTATTTAGATAATCTTCAATTTCCCTTGAATACTTGTCATAAATTTCAGGATTTTTCTTAAACCTTCTAAGTAAACTGTTCCATCTGTTTAAGGCGATGTTATAATTACTACGCATTTTGTTGACATTGCCCTTCCAAGGTAATGAAATTTCATAACGATTGATTTTATATTCAATAGTTTCTTTAAATCTACGCATAACTTCAGTGTCATTTTTACCTGTTGAATAGTCATATATTGCAATTGCCTCTAAATCCCATAGCCTTTCGATGGAATAAGAATAATAATCTTTAAAGATAGAATCTGAAACTTTAGGTTACGAAATGCATTTTCTTTCCTTCTAGAATTTAAAATAGCAGTTATGTTACTTGTTTAAAGGAAAATCAAAAGAATAAGAAATTTTCATCTCAAAAACATCATCCTCATTATTAACTAAAAGCATACAAAATGCTTTTAAGCAACAGTTTTGAAAAGTAGGAAAATAAACTAACAGACTTTTCCATCCCTAGACAACAGTAATAAATATCAAGAATTGCTTCATGTCAAAATCCATAAATGTATTTATCATGATTGAGTGCAGACTTTAGTGTTTTTGAAGTTTGAAACAATTGATTGGGGGTTGGGAAGACTGTTTTCTTCCTTGAAATTTAATGTATAGCTGAACTCTTCCATTTTCAGTAGATTTTATTTTTTGGTCTGTTTGTGTGCGTAGAAATTCTATCACAATACAGCCCGCATAGCGTAAATATAGACCGTAAAAAACATACAATGCCCAAAACCAGAGAAAAGAAAACATTTCAAGACCCACTTCTTTCCGACAATTTACCCGTCAGTATCGGTTTCTCTTTCTAAGATGCAATGGCATTTCTCTGCCCTTTCGACCTTTTTCTTTTTAAAAATAGACTTCGCTTTCATTCAGATGCTACATTTCATAAACGAAAGTCAGGTAAATCATTTATGCTTATTTTTGCCATGCCTTTTTATATCTCAGCATATAATAGTAAAAAACAATACATCGAAACGCAAAGTTAAAAAATATTAATGAGTATGAAATTCTTATTTTTCTAAAGGAAGCATATAATAAAATCTCAAATCTCCTTAAGCTATTCGTGATTTACAACGATTTTGATGTTCTGCGGAAATGGGACATTGGGGTAAAAGGACTATCTGTATTCTTCATACCGTTACCTAAATTTTCAGAATTACCAGTTACTTTCAGAGGTAGTTGATTTACAGAATTGGTGGCTATTAAGGACTTAACTGTACTGTGTAAAGCTAATATCTACCCTTCATGCCTACACCTTAATACTACAAATACAGTGCAACATGACATTGTCTACATTGATTTGCATATTATAGATTACAATTTTTTGAAAATCTACAATAAACGTAAACGCAGAGAATTCAACTTTACAACACTTAAATTAACCAACTGGAATTCCAATATTTCAAAAAAGGTCGTCCTGAATACAATTTACGCACAACTACTTAGAATTAAAAGAATCCGCAATACAACAAACACCTCCAAGAAGAAGTACTATACTTTGTAACAATTTTGAAGAATAACCTAATTCCTAAAAAAGTAATTAAAAAAAGTTAAAAAAGCTAGCATTAACTTTATTTTTAAAATTTTTTGAGTTAGATAATGAAATTCATGCTTAAAGCCCTGTGGGACGGTGTAAAGAGGATGGCTGATTCAGAAGATCTAGTGTATAAATGTACAAATAGTTCCTCTCACAGCTTCAATTTTTACTCTTAAAATTTGGCACAATACTTTTAATTCTATTTTTAAATAGATTTTAAGCATTTGCTGGCCAATTCTTTCCAGTTATTGACTTATGGGCCATTTCGTTTCTGGAAGCTTGATCGCCCTCTAGCTTGAAGAATTTCGACTTTAATTAACAAATAGTTATTTTTCATTATTTTTTCTCACTTTTGTGACCATGTTATAACATTTTGTTGAATTCCCTTACTTAAATTCCTCTGTTTCTTTATTATTATTATTTTAAATTTTAAATTTAATTTTTGGTACTTTTACAAAGTATAAACTCTATATGCTAAAAGCTCCTCCACTTAAATTAACCAAGTGGAATTCCAATATTTCTAAAAGAGTCGTCCTCAATACAATTTACTCTATATGCTAAAATGTCTTCCCATAAATTCTTGTATATTTTGACTAATAGCAAATAGCTATTTATTTTATTTTGTACATCGGCATTACATATCCATTATCTATAGTTTTTATTACACCTTGATGTGTTTCCTCAAGCGGACGCGTCGGGAAATTGGAACAGAGAATTGAGACTAAAGATTTTGGAAACGTTTTTGCAATTAATTTATAAAAAGTGTTTCGTATACAGTTTCAGTTATCTGTTTCGGCGAAACGTGATATGGAGTTAGCTTAATTCGAAATTCATAAAAAATAATTTTCCCTGAGAAGCCTAATGAGATTCGAATTAGGCTAATCTACCATTTACGCTTCATGTTTTTATATTTTTGCTTAAATCATTTGTTTGTACTTTATTCTAATGTTTTAAATATGCCTTACGATGATTATCATATTGCTTACTATTAGTAATAATTTTTATTTGTAAATATTTAAGTGTGTGTATTGTTTTATCTTTAACACATTTCATTGCAGCTTATTTTGCTTATGTTACTATTTTCACGGAACCACAGTATTTAAGCAACTTTTTAGCGTACTTTTTTCTAAATTTTGCAGCACAATGCGCAAAATTTTGACCACATAGGTCTTTTTCGTTTGTTCTTTTTATTTTAATTAGTTATATATATACATATATATATAAATCTTAGTACATTTGAGATTCACTTTTTCGGTTTATATGATTTTTAATGTAATGAAAATTTGTTTCCTGTTTTGATGTCAAATGAACCATTAGAACAAAACATGTTTTCGAAGCATATTAGTCAGCTTTTATGAATCTTTAAATCATTTCCCCTTGATGAGTTCTGAATTGGAGTTTTTAGTAAAAGAAGATTTTAATTTTTATATTTTTATTTTTGGTATTTTTATATTTTTTATATTTTTATTTATATTTTCCCCTTTTGCATTTTCTTTTTCGAGTTGTGATACTAAGATCCTTTTTTTAATTTTGAATTGTTAAAACCTCTTATACAAAGGTGCAATTATTAATATTGTTGAGGAATTTCCTTGCTTTGACCCCAATTTATTTTAAACTTAGATGAAATTTATTTAAGTTTATATATTATTTATAATTAAATTATTATTTATAATTTATTATTATTAATTTATTATATACTATTTATAATTTAAGTTTATATATTATTTAACCCAATTTATTTAAGTTTATATATATATATACATATACAGGGTGATTAAAATACACGTGACAAAAAAATAAAGGCATGTAGAAGAAATCGAAATGCGTAGTTTTGTTAAAAGGAAACGCAGATTCAAAGATTCGAAAAGGTAACTGACAACTTAAAGGAAAACAGTATATTTAAATGGGAAAAGTCACTAAATTTAAATTCTGGCAAAATCAAATTAAAATTAAAAATTTGCTGTAGACACCACGTTATTTCCTTTAGACACCACGTTATTTCCTTACACGGCATATAAAATTAGAGACACTTTTGGTCGCATTTCATTTAAATTTATTTCATCAAATTTCATTAGAGATACATTTTTCATTTAATTAATTCAGTTCTCACTTCGCGACAAAGCAAAAGTACACAAAGACTGAAAACATCTTCATTAAAAATTGTGAAATGCGGAAAAACATAAAACATCAAATGCAGTTCAAAAGTTAAAAAACGATTTTTTAGAGTTAAAATTAGCGTTTCTACGTAAAAATAAGCAATTAGGCCAGCAGACCAGAAGACAGATTTTCCATTCGGAAAAAAGACATTGAAGATGCAGAACCTGGCTTAATTCACTATTCTACTGAGTTTCAAATGTAAAGAAATGGCGGTTCGTTACGCTTAACTCGTCTCTTAAACTTTTAAACTGTTGATAATTCTACAACTATTTTGCATGCAGATTAAAAATCTTTATCGGAGCATAAAAGCCACATAGTTGAATCACTTTGAAAGCAAAATATGCATAATATATCAACATATAAGTATAAAAAACTAAGCTCACGGAGCCAGGTAATAGAGTAGTAACATACACATAGATATATGACTGGTGCAGCATATTGCAACAAAAACAGGAGGGTGAACAACTGCATGTTATAACAGTCCCACATATAAAATTTCAATGTTCTACGGCTACTCCTTCTTGAGTTATGTGGGATACATACATATGTAAGTACATGCGGACGTAAAAAAAAATCTCTTCTGAAATCGATTTTACAATACTATTTGGCAAAAACAGTCCTTTATTCTATACATACATACAGATATTACATAAAGACATCATTCAAATGGTTTCAAGAACGGTTTAAACGTATATTTTCGTTAAAATATGATACCCGAAAATTTTTGCGATTGCAAGACTTTTTTTTTACTTCGTACAAGAAAGTAAATTGCCAAAATTGTTACAAAACAGGAACAGTTTTCCTGATTAACGGGTTACGAAAGCGACTTTTTAGAAACTATAATGGCCAATTTGTTAGTCAGAACCGCTATGAACAGGAAAATTTGCAGAAAAATTATTTTACATACTATGAAATTGCATAATAATATATGAATTATTTTCATTTTCTGTCGAGTAATTAGATTATTTTTAACGAAATTTTTATGTAGGTAAGGCGTGTTTAATTTTTTGAAATAAAAATAATTTAAAATAATTAATTTCTATTCCTCAGCTTATTTGAAACGAACAGATGTATAACTGATTTTGCAAGAGAAAGAGCTGATATAGTTGATGGACTTTTCCTCCGCTTGACAAAGTCTGACAATAACAATACTACTTTTTTCTGATTGTGCTTATTATCATGTATTTTTATTTTTTACAAATTAAATTTCAACTCAGTCAAAGTTAATTTCATACATTCCACTAACTTTAAATATTTTTTTTTAATTTTAAGTATATTTCAACTTTATAGCAATCTTCGCGTATTTAGTTTTAATTTTAGCTAAGTAAACAATTATTTTGCCGTCTTAGCAGAAGTTTCGCAGGAAATTCTTTTGTCATTCGTAATTACATAGTCTTCCAATTTTATATATAAAGTGACTATTCGAACATTTTTAGACGATTTTGCTTTGCTGTAAAATAAATAAATAAAAATAAGAAAAAATCTGAAAGCTTTCAGATTTTATATTACCCTCAAAGGGGCGTTTTTTTAACGTTTTGTGTGTTTACCTTTTTTTATTATATATCGTGTTCTTCGCACTTAAATCATAAAACAATTCAATCCAACAGCAATATGTAAAATATTTAAAAGAGCATATCTTCAGAATTTCCGATACACAGTCTCGTGCGCTGGAGATAAATATGTTTTTTCCCTCGTATAGTATTCTTTTTGCTCGCTTCGAAATCGTTGAGTTTCTTAATCAAAAAACTCATAAATGCGTTACAAAATATAAAATTGATAATAAAACCAATTTTCTGAAATTAACCAATTATCTGGCCATCTAAAAGCCGCAATTCCGAATTTGGGCTTCCAGATGACTAAATTCGGGTGGAGACGTACGTTATTCAGAATTTGATGGCTCTGGATACCGTTGTTTCCTCAAAATGCGAGAAACATACATACATTTATGCAGGTTCTTCATTATTTAATTTCGTTAATTATAATGTAGGGCGATAATATTTGGTGGCAACAATTTAAAAAATAATTAGCTCTTTATAGTGAATCGACGCAAAATGCCAAAATGAAATTAATAACCTTTCTGAGCTACACTCCTTTCGGCTATGAACTTCTGCTTACATTTTTTTTAATTGCAACTATATTTTTGAAAGTATAAATTATCGACTGCTAATTTACAGTTTTGTTTTCTTGCAAAATATCGCTTTTAAAGAAGCAATGAAGGGAAGGCAATGTTTATGTTCTTTCCGAAAAAAAGTATTCCTATCTAAGTATTAAAGAATCTGATGTGTACAACACATGACTTCCTTGTACGGAATATTAAAGTATACGTATTTTTTCTTGCATTTCATATAAGCCTATTCGATTGAATTAAATCGACTTCGTCGATAGCGCATAAACCACAATAGAATAAATGCACTCTTTAAAATTAACTATATTTGTTTGCCCTGCCGACACTCTGGCGCTAAGTTCACTTAACAGCGTTATATTTTGTTCATATTATAAGTCAGAATGCAAAAATGTATATTATTTGGAGAATTATCTAATCGTTGTCACATGCTCTATTCAAATACTCTAATATATCTAGAACGATGTATAAAAGAAATTAAGGAAACAAAACAAAAAAGAAACAATTTTTCACAGAGGATTCAGTATTTCTCATTCAGTTAATTCAGTACTGACTTTGCGACAAGGCAAAAATATACATAAAACTCAAAATATCTATATTAAAAATTACGAAAGTAAATCTTAAACACTTCTTTTCTCGAAAAGAATTGCAGAAAGAATTATGGATGAGTTTAATTCGCAATAATAAATGAAGGCGTTATCTTTGTTGTTGC